AAGGTTACACCAACATGATGGATTTATACAGACAGACATTCTTTACTGAATTGTGACTATATGCTCTCACATCAGTCAGTTGACGGCCTGGCTAGTGTCCTCCTCCTAGTAACGCTTTTACTAGCTGGCACATCTCACCGCTAGATCGTCCAGTAGCTGTCTGCAGTTTTTGTGCTCAGCGCCGGCGTACCCAGATCATCTGTAACCGAGCGCCTCGGTGATGATAGCCTCCAGTAAACACTACCTCTGGATCTGCCACGCTGTGTGCCGCTATGCATCGTGCTTGATGCGAATGGTAACGGTCCCTCGGATCTTTTCTGATATCTTGTTTGTGTAGTTTTGACTCAACTCCCATAATCCATGAAGGCCACAAAAAGCTGCGCTCGCCCAGCCTACACATGATAATCTCTGTGCGTTCGAATGCTTATTTGCCCTAAGCGGGTAGATCATGATGCCTCTTGCTCAGGATTGATGGTTTTCTTCAGAGCCATGACGACAACGCGGTTGGCATTACGACACGCAACCAAGCATCTCTCGACCATATTATTATAGAGCATGCCATCAGCCCCAGGCAGTTGGCCCTTAAACCACATGTTCGTGACCTCATCTCGTGTGGGCAGGTAAGCAATGCAGCAAGCTGCGTAGATCTTATGGTAGTCGGCTACGGCTGGGTCGAGAACGATGGACGGCGGGCTTTTCGCGTCTTTGGCGACCAGCGCTGCAACGCCTCCGGCAACTGTGTCGACGCAGTCAATACCTGCATCGGCAATCGCCGCCGAGGCTACAGTGATGCAGCCGCTCAACACATTCATTGTGTCCCAGCCATCATCGCGTTGGTTCTCAGGCGCATTGCGATCCTGGTCGCCCTCTATTATGGTGACTATAATGTCGACACCACTCTTGGGCCAGCGGTCTGCGATGATGGCGCCTCGCAATGCCGTCTCCAAATGTACACCAAGATCCCTCTCACTGGAGTCTCGTAAGTAGCCTCGTCGTTGTTTTGTCGCGAATGGCGCATATTTGACATGTGTGGTAAGAATTATGTGAGGAGAAAAGGGCGCAGATCGTGGGAGAGCTCGTGGGCCGTGAACGGTACAGGTTAATTTGAGGCTCGTATTGCTTGGGCCGGTCGCATTGGGGTTCTCCAGCTCTAGATAGGCAGATCCAGAAGCGGAAGGGGTCACACCCGTTTTCAAGACTGCGCAAGGAGTTTTAGCGAGTGGCAAAGCAGACAAGACGATCTCACCGCAGATTGCTACCTACAAATCTTGCGAATAGCATTCTCAGGCTTCTCTTCTGTTGCTGTCTGTTTTGCGATACTCCGAGGCGGGGGAGCGTCGTAGATTGGAGGTAGAGTAGCTCCCACAGGACCATTTACCCTTCTCCGATCGGCCATGGTGGCCGAAATATCGGGATATGTTGTTGGTACGACTGATTAGGTATTAGGTATGCTTGGTGTTGAAGCTTCAGTTTATTATTACCTACCTTATCTGAGAAACGGATATGGAAATCGGAGTCCCACCTTATCTACCTATCGATTGCCCCACCAGCACCTGCCCCCTGCAATCCCACCTACCTAGGTACCTAGCTCCACCACGAGCTAGCCGTTTTCTTATAAATTTCATGCAAAAGAATTTTGCACCTTCGTCTTTCAAGTTCCTTTCACTCCTGTATCACTCGACCTTATGTGAAGGTCTGGCATCGACTACCACCTCGAGGGCAATCCTCCAAGGTGAATAATGATAGATATGGTTTGGATGGATTGAAATCTTGAATCATTGATTTGATGGTGGCAATTTCCGAATTGAACGGAGCATCTGGAATCGGCTTTCTTTGATCTGAAGAATAATACAGTGAGGTAAGTCTGGACTCACGCTCAATACTTGGACGCACCTTTTTCTCTCCTTGCTACCCTCCCGCTATTGATGAAGTTTTTTCCACTGGTCTCGCGATCTCCTGAGCGTACAGAACCAAACATGCACTACCATCTGAAGCACAGTCTTACCTGCGTCTTTCTGAATACACTTCGTGGACATACAGCTGACCATGACAGAATTAGGTATGCGAGTGTATTGAGCTCCAGATATTACTTATTCTTATATTCCATCATTAGGTCAGTTAACAGCTCTCCCTTTTACCTACCCTTCGTACTATTTTCCGTGATGAAAAATCAATCATTCAGTTCTGCTTCTGAGCATAATGAAGATACCCATATACCAAAAATTATTCTGATCCAACAACTCCTATCAACGCTACTTGAACCGCTTTTGCAATAGGACAATTGACTGACTATTGATCAGATTCACTAGATTTCCTCATATTTTCCCAATCAATAGTCCGCATACGAAACCAGGAGTTGTAAGCTATCTTCACCGCTTTACCCATACCTCTCCTATCATGATGAAAACCGTTTATCCATTCAACTATCTCACTATGGGTCGAGCCACCCTCCCGCACCGGAGCTGGCCCCTCGGGGCTAGTGATGATTGGTTGTGGAGTTGCGTTTTAACGACTTCAGCCTCGTGCTGGGGTTTGTTGGAAGTGTTATGCTGGCTTCAGTGTTTTCCATCCCTGTGTCTCGTCTTGAGGTGCAGAGGTGGAGAGCCGACACATGTGAATGAGTAAAATTTAGGTTGCTGAACTCTAAACATCCATTATATATCTTGAGCCGAGCAATCATGGCGAATTCGCTAACGTGTCTCGATACTAGGTCTCTTCTCATCCCACGTTTGGCAACTTTGGCAAGCCAAATCATTTTGCGTGTCACAAATATGGTAGTAGACGCTTTATTCTGTGAATGGTGTAAGGACCCTATGGTCACGTACACTCCGTAAGCCGCCGTAGATCCGCCTAGTTTATTTAGTATCTATTGAGTTTCTATTCAGTAATTATTAAATTGAATTCAGTATATTCACAGTCCTTCTAAGTTCTCCTGTGCATAACAGTAGCAGCAGCTTGGTGATTGGGAAAGATGAGTGTGTCAGCAATCACAACGTTCTCTTTTCTTCCAGCAACAAATACAACGACCTCGGCAATGTCGTCAGGGGTCAAAGGATCACAACCGCTAGAAGTGATATTAGCGATATATACTTGATTCCTTAACAGGCAACAAAACTCACGCGTAAACGGCATCAGCCTTAGCTTTATCACCATAGAACCGAACAACAGAGAACTCCTGCACCAACATCAGTACGCTTTTCTAGACTGGCTGGCAAAACCAAAATTCTTCAGAAAATTTCCGAGGATTGGCACGTACCGTCTCAACCTGGCCGGGGTCAACCTCTAGGACACGGACGCGCGTAGCAACGAGCTCCCTGCGTAGGGAATCCGTGAAACTGCGCACAGCAGCCTTAGTAGCACAGTAGATGCTGCCTCCGGGGTAGGGCTCACGACCGGCAATGCTGCCGATGTTGATGATGTCGCCGGCGCCGCCGTTAGGGCGTCGCAAGAAGATGGGCAAGATCGCCTGCGTCATGTTGATAAGTCCCGTCACATTGGTCGTGAACATGACGTTCAAGTCCTCCTCGGCGATCTCGGGCGCCTTAGCTACACCCTTGACGAGGCCGCTGTGTGTTTCGTGTTAGCTACTATTCGTCAAAATCCGTTTATGTGTACGCTTTTCTCTCCATATCCAGCACAACTTGAAATCACTGAGAATATGACCCCCTCAATTTCCGTGAAGGTAAATTATGAGTACAGGACCAGATTGCACAGAATAAGGCAGGGACAGTTCGTTACTCTTGTTATTGACAGAAAACTCACGCATTATTCACAAGCACATCGACCTCCTTGAACTCCTCGGGCAACCCGTCCACGAAACCCCGTATCTCCTCGGGCTTGCTAACATCAAGCTGCACGGGATGCACCTTGACGCGGTCATCGCCGACCTCGGCCTGGATATCCGCGGCGATTTGTTTCAGGGAATCGATGCGGCGCGCCGTGAGCACGAGCTTGAGGCCACCCGCCGGCGCGGCCGTCCGCGCGAACTCGAACGCCGTGCTGCGCCCGATGCCCGACGACGCGCCCGTGATCACCACCGTCTTGCCCGCGAGGCGCTTGGCGACTGCCGAGGACATGGTGCGCGATGCGAAGAAAACGGCCCCGGGAGGAGTCTGTAGTGCTTGCTGGAGAGGGTGCTGGAGGCTGCTGGATGGTCGGCAGCGAGTACTGATGGAGAGAAGCGTGCGGAACGTGCGGTGGGCTGAGGCTGTTATGCAAGTGAGGGGCATATAGAATGGATGGTTTGTTACGAGCGGTTTGCGACGGAGGAGATAAAAAAAAAATGAGAGAAATGCAACAGCTAGCTAGCTACCTGCACTCATGGCAGGGTCGTATTAGTCAAATGATGGATTATCAACTTGATGCGGGTTTCTACATTCGATATCGGAGGAAGTTGGAATGTCGTCATCTAGGGCGGGTAGGATACAGGTAGGTTACTGTATCTTCAACCCCGCCGTGGGCTTTACCGTATCTGCCCCGCCGTGTTCCAGCGGCAGCCGACTTCCTGAAATTGGATTGTATGAGAAAAGACCAGCTTTCAGTCCTTCCTCTGTGACAAGACAAGACGAGACAAGACCGACAATGTGTATTTCCGTCCTATAGCTAGCTCATGACCGATCTATCTCCCGATTGCACGTATGGCGGTATCAGCGTCGGAATAGTTGCCCCTCTACCTACTGCCAAATGACTAGTAGTCTATGACAACCTGACTGCTACGCACTGGGTTTCACGATTACATTCTCCCCGTCCCAAAAGTGGACAGCCGAATCGACTAGGAAAAGGGGGCGAGGTGGATGGGAAGAAGGGTGGATATTTAGCTGTGATAAATGCGAAGAGGGGGTGGATGAAATGCTATAAATACCTACACGGCCCCGATCAATCGCATACTTTCTTTTCTGTCGTGAATGGAGTCGAAGATTGAGATTGTATTATTGGTTGAAAGTCATTGTGGCGTTTATAGGCACAGTTTGGGGGACGAAAGTTCTAACGATTCAACGAACCCTCATATAGTGTAGTGGTTCAGCACGCAGGATTTTGATAACAATCCTCAATCTTCCTGAGTCCCAGGTTCGAACCCTGGTATGAGGTAAAGGTCAACTTTTCCTTGACTTTTTTTTTAATCGGTGTTCTAGGTACATTTTTCTTTTTTGCTTGACATTTTCATTCTCCCCTGTTCCAAGAGCGCAAGCAAGTACTTATTGGCAGAAAGATGTTCACTGTATTCGATGTTATACACTTACCACCAAGTCGCACCCCAGAGCGCGTATTCCATTTGTGATGTGTATTTATTTCACAATGACAAGTAAAGATAAGGATTTCAAATTGGTAGACTGGTAGAAGAAAATCTCTTTAGGGGTGCTAAGGGCAGATGTTTCGTCACCGAGGTATTCCATAGTTGAAAAACAAAGCACCCTGTGGCCAATGCAACTGTTTTCTGACTTGTCGAATTTCAGGCTTTATTTGGTATCATTTTTCCTCTGTAATATCATAATATCTACTAGAGTCTTGTCTACTAGTCTTTTCCTGTATCCGTACAATAACCAAAACATGGGCTAGCTACCATTGCCCCCATATTCCTAATACTAAACGCCTCTTCGTGGGTATACTTCCTTGCACCCGCCGGGACAACAGCTTGTCAGAAATTTCCAAATACAATCCTTTTGCTTTCCCTTCATCATCTCAGTCCGTCTATACAAAAAGAAACAGGAAATCAGGGGTGATCATTACCCTCACAGATGAGACTGCAGGAGAAACTATGCCGCTTAGCCGTTTTTTTTTTTTCAAAAACCATCACATCTGAGATCCCAGGGCTTCTTCTGATTGTCCGCCGCGCAGACATTCTCGTTGGCGAAAGCTCGCCATCTGTCCAACAGGTCCGTGGCGAGAATCCCGCCCTTCTGGGTGTAGAAGCTGTGGTGGGCCACCACGGCGCGCGTGTCCACCACGAACGGCCGCCCCAGCCTCTCGGGTATTAGCTGCGTGAGCTCAGCTTCGTCATTCTTTATTGGTAGTCCCGCTTTCACGTCCCGACCCCAGATCGCTACGAAGTTGAGGTTGTATCGCCGGTACTGCACTATAGACACGGGGGTGGGGGAGTAAGCAAGTAAGCTCGTTGTTTTTGAAACGATGGAGTAAAGTCGACCCCATCAGAGGACAACTGCTACATCCAATGGGGGAACAAAAAGATTGAATGTAAAAGATGACTTACTATCGTAGAGCTGTTCACCACCGGGGCCCCCCGTTTCGTCGGAGTGCGATGAATTACGTTTGCCGTCGTAGTCGATGGCCCGTCCGAAATGATATCTGTCCATCTCATTATTCTCGAGATTCCACAGAAGGCTATATTCCTGTTGGGCGGCGACACCCCAGGACTTCCAGCCCGGCCCCCAGGCTATGGCAGCGGAGCCCTGATTCGCATTCCACTGTGCTATAGGTGTGCGAGTCTGCGATGACAAAAGTCAGCAAGTCTCAGCTACAGCTAGGTCACTCAAGACCTCGAGTGCATGTAGAGATAAAATTGAATCGGCGATTTTGCCCTTGTCAGTTGTCAAAATGTGAAAAATATGTTAAGAAATCTCTCACCATGGCCGATGATGGTGACATCCCGCTCGAGCTGGTTATGAGCAGCCAGGGGTGGCCACGGTATGGCGCATCCACATAGATAGAGCCGTCTTGAGTTTGGCTGGTGAGAGGATAGCTTGGCAGCTCAGAAACTCGCCATGTCTCGGCTGACTCCCGCCGGTTATTCTGATGCGGATCGGGCAGGAAAGGATGGATGGCACCGAAATGGTACGAAGCCAGTCCCATCACTGGGCTGTTCACAATCTGCGCGGATATTGCGTACGGATGCGGCTCGGCTATGCGTGTATGGACTAACTGAGGTATCGCATCGTGATGGATATATGTCTGTCTGCAAGTTAGCTGCTTATGTCGCCGTGGGGAAGACTCATCTGCACCAGAATCGAGTTCCAGAATGCTTGCTGCCCAAAATGAGAAAGTGGCTTTGGACTGAGCTTACCATATCGTCATCGATCTTCACATAGATAGTATCATCCTCGGTAGCATAATCCCACAAACACCCGTAATCATTACATGTATCACGGAAGTCCTTGAATTTGTAGGCTTGCTCGTGCGCTACCTTCTCGTGTAGCCAGTGGAGGTCTTCTTTCACTTTTGTATGAATCATGAACCATACTTCGTCGAGGTATCCGCCGTTTGTTACCAAGTTCTGCTGCAAATAGCAATCCAGTATATCTACGGTACGCCGGCGTCCGTAGAATATCATGGCGACCACCCTGATGCCCGCCGGCTTCCTCCATCCCCCTGGTGGTGCTAGCGTATCTAGTACCAGCTTTGGATGTTCTGATATTGATGTCGTGTTGTAGCTTCCGTCCTCGTCCACGGGCCATGTGGTACAGTATGTGGGCGGCAGTAGGGTTTCTTTTAGTTTCGATAGGGTGTCCGCAGTTGCATCTGATAATAGACCTGACCTAAAAAGGGAGTATGGGTTAGCGAAGCTGAGGACGCTAACTATTGACAGCCCGACAATGGCGGCGACAATGACTAGTTTTCGATTCAGTCTCCGAGTAAGTGCCAAGATGTATGCCGCCGAGAATCTATTCCGGACGGGTGTATGCCATTGACGGCGGACGGCCGATTGTCCTTGATTGAGCATGCCGTTGAAGGCCTCTGTGTTTCAATTTACTTATTTTCGATGTGGCTGTTATAATTATAATCCCCTTCTCATCTGTCTCACCTCTTCTTCCCAACCCACTTTATATACCTCCACCATGGGTGGAGGCGCAAATGAAACCAACGTCAAGTGAGCAAACTAGAGGAAACTACACATACTAGTAATTTAGGCATCCATTTAAAAATTTGGGCAATGTTACATCTGTCATGCTAAAACAGCAGATCTGCTGTGCTTGTCAGAAATAAGCGAGGTAGTCCTGGGGGTCAAATCATATATATATCTATGCTTATATTAAGTAAAAATTAGTGACAAGATTGTACGTTCTCCTTAATAAGGGTGCCCCTTAATAACATCTATAGAACACAGTGTTCAAGACGCCCCATATCATCAATACAAGTAAGGAGAATCAGCAATAATCATAAATATTGCTCATAACCTTGATGATAAAGTTTCCCTATCCTTTCATTACTTATTCAAATATTAGTTGTCCACGATGTGCTCGAGCCGACCAGACTGTTGGTTGATATGTTACCAGTGAATAATTTACACGTATTTTGTCAACTACTTGACTCTACCTAGTAATGACATAGTCACCGAAATAATATATTAACCCTGGTGTCATCACGGCATCCTGCTGGGTAGCTTGGCAAGTGAGCAGCTTGTATTATAATTATCGGTGCGTGTGATGGGCTTTCCATGTCCTGTATAGATGATGCGAGATTGGAAGGTTTGCCATTTTCGTACCAGCTGATTTAGCGAGTGTTGGCACGACGAAGATCGCACGATCTTGCCTTTGTTTATCTCAACCAATCCCTCCAACCAAGCTAGGACCGTTTTGTCACCCGCCCCCCTTACTAGTTAATCGCAGACTTTGTACATTTTCGTTACAATCCCTTGAGCTATCCTGTTTGCTAGACAGGTCTTTTGCCGATCTGATGTATTATTTACCACCTGACCAAGTTTCGGCCGTGGTTTTATGTGCCTCCGGTCTCAGCCTGGGCCGCAGGAGACGGAGGCTGTGTCATAAAGGCCAACGAAATCCGCCCGAGTTATCTGATAAATATGGCGTATGTGGCACACCGCACACCCTTTGCCTCATTATTCCTCTTAATTGGAATTTCCATGCCAAGATCATGCTAGGTGCTGAAAAAGTGATTATGGATTTTAGGCAGCCATCTATCATGATAGCGTCAAACCCCATATCATGCAGCATCAAGGCACAGCAACTGAGTGAACTTTTATTTTAAACCCACCTGCATTAGGTAATACATGTCAATCCTTACTGAGATTTGGTAGTGTACATGACGATAGGGGATTCAAGGCGGCCTCTTTCATCCGACTCCTTCACATACCAGTACAGACGTGCGGTCTCCGTTCGTCAGGGCGAAGGTCATTCATCGAGGGAGATAAAATATCGAACAGAACAGGGCTGTAAATCGAGCAGGTGATAGATAAAGGTAATACTGCCAAGTGTATAGTTTCTGGTTACACCGCAATACGCTGCATAACGATGCGTACAATGGAGGGGTGATTGGTTGACTTATCTCTTCGGGTAGTGAGACTCATACCGCCCGGACTAATATTTTCTCGCAGGCTCTATTGGGAGGAGATCTAACCCTAGGACTAAGTCGTAAATATCTTGCATCTATTGTAGATCAATGTATTTAATGGTCTAGGCTTAAGCCTAAGATAGAGGCTGTGAGACTTTATTAGAATGGGGGGGGGGGATAGCACGATTCTGCTGAGATTCGTTCCAGTCAGCATTCCACGTTCGAACACCCTTATTTTACTCACGGAATTATGTTGTTTATATCGAGTAAGCTAATATATCGTGAAAGTGCTCGCTACGTGGCTAACTAGGGTATTGCACTGCTCTAATAATAATCTCTCCGAGAACACAACCTCTATTTGAGATCTAGTCGTCTACATATAAATTCTGTAGAAAAATAGGGGTCCCAGCCTTTATAATTAGCTTCCATCTCTAAATGACTCGCTGACTTGCTTCCGTCCCTCTATATGCTTGGGGATAATACATGTATACAAAAGAATTGGTTATGCGCCTAGCTTCTTGTCGATCGTGCGGAGTGGCTAGCCGAACCTAGCTGGTTCCCAACGAAATCGATGTGTTCCTATTCTAACCTATACTTGAACAGTGCTTTAACAGAATAGGCAACACCTCCATTGTAGGAATACCTACCCGCCATAAGTGAACAACCTCGATTCAGGTTTTAACCTTCGGCGATGCTCCAAGTTCAGGCTCCTAACCGTCGACCTCATCACGGCAGTGATATGTGGATTTAGTTGCGGCCATGCTCAAAGATCCTTAGATGCTAGAGGGGTTTGCCCGCTATGGGCCACTCGCGGATCCTTTAAGTGGTTTAGAGGTGGTGTATAA